TTAAGAGTTCCCTTCACTGGAACTAGGGGGCCAAGCCCAACCCCTGAAAAACAACCTAACTCCATAATCCCCCTCCACCAAACTTTACACTTGGCACAATGCAGTCAGGCAAGTACCGTTCTCCTGGCAACTGGCAAACACAGACACGTCTATCGGATTGCCAGACAGAGAAGTGTGATTGGTCACTCCAGAGAACACGAGTCCAGTGGCGGCGTGCTTTACACCACTGCATCCGACGCTTTGCATTACACTTGGTGATGTAAGGCTTGGATGCAGTTGCTCGGCCATGGAAACCCATTCCATGAAGCTCTCTACGCACTGTTGTTGTGCTAATCTGAAGGCCACATGAAGTTTGGAGGTCTTTAGCCATTGACTCTGCAGACAGTTGGTGACTTCTATGCACTGTGCGCTTCAGCATGCGCTGACCCCCAGCCCTGTCATGTGATGTAACCTACCACTTGGTGGCTGAGTTGCTGTTGTTCCCAGTTGCTTCCACTTTGTTATAATCCCACTAACAGTTGACCGTGGAATATTTAGTAGCCAGGAAATGTCACGGATGGACTTATTGCACAGGTGACAACCTATCACGGGACCACGCTTGGAGTCACTGAGCTCCTGAGAGCGACCCATTCTTTCACAAATGTTTGTAGAAGCAGTCTGCATGCCTAGGTGATGATTGTATACACCTGTGGCCATGGAGGGGATTGGAACACCTGAATCACATGATTTGGAGGGCGGGCCCAATACTTTTGGCAATATAGTGTACAGGCATACTTCAGTTTATGAATTTAATTCGTTCTGTGGGACTTTTCATATTGCAAAAAATTTGTAAACCAAAATGCAGTTTCCCATAGGCATGCATTGAAAACCAATTAATCCATTCCGGAGGTCAGAGAAAAGTAAAAAAAAAGTCTTATCTGTTCAAAACTCTTTATAAAGTGCACTTTAAAGGCATAAAGGGACATGATTAAAAATAAAATCATAAATGCATTGAATAGCAATTAATCCATTCGTATTGCGGAAAAAATTTGTAAACCAAGCCTTTGTTTCATTCGTAAACCGAAAATTACGTTAACCGAGGCGTTGGTAAATCGAGGCACGCCTGTATATTCCATTTTTGGTTTTCTGTTTAATACCACTTTAAAACAATCAAGGAGTGTACCAGAAGAGGGAGCTGTTGCTCGTAATATTGCTGAGCCTCAAGGTTACGTGAATCGCTGTTCTTCTGAGCAACATATCCCCTTGTTAATAAATACATACTGTTTGTCAGCGTAGAAATTTGGTAATTACAAACAAGTGATTCAATATTGTATCAACAACAAATGAAAAATGTGCTACATTGAGCTGATAATTTAACCCTTTTACTGCCATGGAGGTATTACGCATGGATCAGGATGTAAACAAAATCTGCAGGTGGGTTTGTTTACATTTTGAAGAGCTGGCTTTGGGCTCTCTAGCAGAAGTGATTAGGGCAGCTCATGCACACGTCTGCTTTACAAGCATTTGACATTTTTTTCTGCCTCTAAGCATACCGCCACGTTAGCCTATGTGTCCATTGCACACAGACATGTTTTCAGGAATTCAAGTCAGGAGCGTTTAGCAGCACAGAATATAAAACATCACTTGTGCATTCAAGAGTGGAGTGTTTTGACTGACAACAACGCCAAAACGCGCCTAAATGCTTGGCCCGTTTAGCACTTGAGCATTTATTCATTTCAACGGACAGAATTAATTAATATTCTGGACAATGAAATAAATAAAAGGCCAAGCACTTGGTGCACCTAAACACATTTGCAAAAACACGGGCTTAGGCACATTTCTGAATCTGCTTTTCTCCTGCTGGGAGAAAAGTGTTTGCAAAAGCCCCAGTGGGCATGAGGCCCAAAGCTGCCCAAATACTACAAGTAAATTATCCAACTAATGAGCTGCTTTACCCAAACCAATGTAGCACCTTCTTAGTTAGCTAGGGGGAGCTCTAGGTCAATTGTTAACAAGGAGGGCTGAGTTGCAGCCTGGGTGTGATAGCCAGGTGAGTCAAATTTAGGTCAGAGTTGAGAGGCTCTGCAGACCTGCTCTCTGCGATTTCCTCCTGCTCTAGAACTTTTGAGAAAGATCTAGAAGCAGTGGGCGGATTTGAGGAGTGGCTCATCTGTACTCTTAAAGGATTCTGGCCAATCCCCAACAGGAGGCTTGGCAATGGGCTAGGACAACCTTTAAGAGTAACTGAGCCTGCAGAGCAGCAGGAAAGTTGGAGGTGAAATCAGGTGGAAGATGAGGAAGTGAGGCTGGAGAGCAGGGGCCCAGGAAGGGGGCCCAGATGGAGAGAGGCTCACCTCCAGGCAGGAATTTTGGAAGGAGGAAAGCTCAGGACTTCACTGGCCCCCTGAGAAGGGAAGGAGCGGCACAGCTAGAAGGCTTAGTAGCAGCCACCGACCCACCAGCAGCACAGGAGAAGGACTGGGTGAGTAAAACCTGTACCCTCTGGGCCAGATAGGGGAAGGAGCATTCTGGTGGGAAATCAGATTAGCGACTACCAGGGACTGTCTTACTTTGGATCCCCTGCCCAGGGAAACACCCAGTACAGCTGGATGAGGAGAGGAGTCATTTGGGGGTCTCTGGGGTGGTACAACAGGAGACGCTGGCTAGCTCTTCAGAAGATTTATTTTTCTGTAAAGACTTATACATTGTTGCTAAGGAGTTTGCCCTCTGTTGTCATTACCCTTGGGCAACCCATGCACCCCTTTACCCTATCCAAGTTCTAAAATCCCCTAATAAAACTTCAAAAACAAGCTCAAGGACTGGTTACTGTCTCCTAATGCAAGTCTGAATGAGGAAATGCGTGTTACCTGGCTGTGCAGGACAATGGGGGAACCCAAACTTCAGCAACTCCTAAAGGGGTAGTGCTACACCAACAAAACATACAGTCATGGCCGAAATTGTTGGCACCCTTGATATATTTTTCCTGAAAATCAAGTATTTCACACAAAAAAGGTATTGCATTAACACATGTTTTGCTATACACATGTTTATTCCCTTTGTATGTATTGGAACAAATATAAAACAGAGGCAGAAAAGCAAATATGACATAATGTCACACAAAACCCCAAAAATGGGCTGGACAAAAGTATTGGCACCCTTAACTTAATATTTGGTTGCACACCCTTTGGAAAACATAACTGAAATCAGTCGCTTCCTATAACCATCAATAAGCTTCTGACACCTCTCACCCGGAATTTTGGACCACTCTTCCTTTGCAAACAGCTCCAGGTCTCTCTTATTGGAAGGACACCTTTTCCCAACAGCAATTTTAAGATCTCTCCACAGGTGTTCAATGGGATTTAGATCTGGGCTCATTGCTGGCCACTTCAGAACTCTCCAGCGCTTCTTTGCCATCCATTTCTGAGTGCTTTTTGACGTATGTTTGGGGTCATTGTCCTGCTGGAAGACCCAGGATCTTGGACGCAAACCCAGCTTTCTGACACTGGGTAGGCCTCATTCCGTTTTCGGTAAACAGTAGAATGATGTGCTTTACCGAAAAGCTCTATCTTGGTCTCATCTGTCCACAAGACGTTTTCCCAGAAGGCTTTTGGCTTACTCAAGTACATTTTGGCAAACTGTAGTCTTGCTTTTTTATGTCTCTGTGTCAGCAGTGGGGTCCTCCTGGGTCTCCTGCCATAGCGTTTCATTTCATTTAAATGTCGACGGATAGTTCGCGCTGACACTGATGCTCCCTGAGCCTGCAGGACAGCTTGAATGTCTTTGGAACATGTTTGGGGCTGCTTATCCACCATCCGGACTATTCTGCGTTGCAATCTTTCATCAATTTTCCTCATCCGTCCACGACCACGACAGGGAGATTAGCTACAGTGCCATGGGTTGCAAACTTCTTGATAATGTTGCGCACTGTGGACAAAGGCAAATCTAGTTCTCTGGAGATGGACTTGTAACCTTGAGATTGTTGATATTTTGCCACAATTTTGGTTCTCAGGTCCTCAGACAGTTCTCGTCTCCTCTTTCTGTTGTCCATGCTTAGTGTGGCACAGACAGACACACAATGCAAAGGTTAAGTGAACGTCTCTCCTTTTTATCTGCTTTCAGGTGTGATTTCTATATTGCCCACACCTGTTACTTGCCCCAGGTGAGTTTACAGGAGCATCACATGCTTGTAACATTCTTATTTATCCGCAGTTGTGAAAGGGTGCCAATACTTTTGTCCAGCCCATTTTTGGAGGTTTGTGTGACATTATGTCGAATTTGCTTTCTTTCCTCCCTTTTTTTGTTTTGTCCCAATACACACAAAGGGAATAAACATGTCGTGAGAAATACATGATTTCCTGGAGAAATATCAAGGGTGCCAACAATTTCGGCCATGACTGTATATAATATACAATTAACAGGTAAATGAAAAAGGTCCACAAATCCATATAAATGTGAAAAAAATTAAAGCAAAAAAATAAAGTAAGTCCTTAAAGACATGTGCTCTGTGGATAGATCCAATATTTGATGCGTGAATTCCACATCACAAGTGTCTCTGCCAACACAGACACACTGAGAGACTTACCAAGAATACATGACTCCCAGAATATTAAGTAATTTATTTAAGTCATTTAGAACTTTATGCAGCCATCCCCATTGTCACACCAGGTCACGGCACTCCTTGAACACATGACATCTCAGAAGGGGTGTCACCTCCCAGGATCTTCTCTGATTCTCACTCCATGCATGTCTGTAAGTTGGGAAATAAAGAAGACCAAATGCTCCACATAGTATAAAATCCAATGTATAGTTTACTACAATTGCTAAAATACATTTATAAATGAAGAGAATAAAACAGCGCTGAATAGAAACCAAAAAATTTATAGAAACACTGGACTCCCGGGGTCAATTCCAGTAAACCTGATAACCTCACAACAGGCTCCACCCAACATGTTTCGTCACAGATGATGTCTCCTGAGCAGTGAAAGGAATGAGCTCCCAGACTCTAAGCCTCAAGGTTACTGCATCAGGGGATTGAAAGGGTTTGAATCAGAGAAGCAGCTAACTCCTATGATATGGAGGTGAACAGCAATAGCTGGGCCCAGGGGCAGACTGACAACTCATGGGCCTTCGGGCAATAGGGGATCATGGGGCCCCTGTGTCCTTTTCCCACACTCAAACCACACCCAAAAAAGCCTATGAAAAAGCAAATGAAAGGTACCAGGGGCATCTCATGGTGCCTCCTACTGACCGGGCCCTCGGGCAAGTGCCTAAGTGCCCGAATGGTCAGTCCCACCCCTGGCTGGGCCTTTCTTAGCAATGTCTCAGCAACATCCTGGAAGTTTTCAGGTCAGGCTTCGTGAGTTACTTAAACGGCAAGGGCATTGTTCAAAACTTTAGTCAAAGCTGCACTGCTTGTTTTATCTACAAACATCCCTTATTTGCATAGGCAGTTTTCTGGTAAAGGTGAACTAACCCTGTAAGGGCTCGTTTACACACGCCCTCTGAAGAGGGATCTGCAGTAGATCACTTTTCAGAGAGTGTTTGACAGGCGGTGAAGGAGACCTTATGTGGGCCCCTCACTATCAGTTTTAACCCCTAAACGCCTGCACCACCACTCCGCAACTGTGTACATTACACAAATGCACCATTCATTGAACAGGTTGTGTTCGGTGGGCAGGACTGTCCACCAAACACAACAGGGGATATGTTATACTCCCTCTATGTATATCCTCGTAGAGCTGCCCTATAATATTTGGTGGATTTTAATTGCATTTTCATGCACAAAATACCAATTTTAACGTGTGTACAAATTTAAAATATGGCTCTGGCAGCAAAAGGATTCAAATTAACCTGTCAGCTTCATACCCACATTTCAGCATACCATGGATGTGAGCAGGGGCGGACTGACAACTCATGGGGCCCCCGGGCAATAAGGGATCATGGGGCCCCTGTGTCCTTGCCCAAACTCAAAAAAGCCTATGAAAAAGGTACCAGGGGCATCTCATGGGGCCCCCTATTGACCCTGGGCCTTCGGGCAGTGCCCGAGTTTCCAAATGGTCAGTCCACCCCTGGATGTGAGCCATGGATGTGGTGCACTTCAGTGAGAAGTGTGGGTCTATTAAAACCTGCATTGCCATGCCTTGACAGCCCATACAAGATGAACAGGCTACCCCATTGGGCAGGAACTCTGCAATTCGGCAAAATTAATTTACCAATCAGCCTATCACAACAGGCAATGAGATGATTTACTAAAACTGGACAGTGCAAAATCTGGTGCAGCTCTCCATAGAAACCAATCAGCTTCCAGGATTTATTGTCAAAGCTTAACCAGTGGCGGGACTGACCATTTGGAAACTTGGGCACTGCCCGAGGGCCCGGGTCATGATCCCCTATTGCCCGGGGGCCCCATGAGTTGTCAGTCCACCCCTGAGCTTAACCGAACAAGCTGAAGTTAGAAGCTGATTGGCTACCATGCACAGCTGCACCAGATTATGCACTCTCCAGTGTTTAGTAAATCATGTTTTATTAAGGCTCCGACACGTTCACACCTATGCAGTTTGCCTTTTGTCCATTTTTGCAGTTCGTTTTGCAATTTTCTGTTTGCGTTTTTAACTCGTTTTTGATGCACTTTTTTCCACGATTAGTCCAGTTTTTTTTTTCTCTTTACTTAAAGTGGTATTTTATTGTTGCTGGGCAGAATAAAAGTGCAAAACGTGGCAAAAACACACTACCATAAATTTCAGTAGTTTCTCCATTGAATTGTTATAGCAAAAATGCTGCTTTTTGCTTTTAACCACTTCACGTCCGGACACTTTTACCCCCTTCCTGTCCAGGCCAATTTTCAGCTTTCAGCGCTATCACACTTTGAATGACAATTGCGCGGGTCATGCAACACTGTACCCATATGAATTGTTTAGCATTTTTTTGAGACAGATAAAGCTTTATTTTGGTGGTATTTATTCACCACTGGGATGTTTATTTTTTTGCTATGTAAATTAAAAAGTCCAAAAATTTAGAAAAAAGGTGTTTTTCTTATAAAATTTTTGCAAATATATAATATTTGATCATAAATCTTGGCCAAAATTTTATTCGTTATCTTTTTAGTAAAAAAATAATAATCCAAATTAGTTTTATAACCAAAAATTATAAAATTTTAAACATTTTTTTTTTTAATTTTTTTTTTATATATTATTATTTATGGGGTTTTTTTTTTACATACTGTCCACCCTAGCAGTACAGTGTCACCATGGTGGATACTGTACTACTTGTGGGGGTGATGAAGATTTTTTTTTTTACACACATTGATTGCTTTTACACCCATTAAAGGATGTTCTTTCTAAGCAATCATTTCTCCTTCTCTCTGGCTGCATTCTTGCAGCCATTGAGAAGTACTGTGTGAGCTGTGATTGGTCACAGCTTGTCACATGGTACAAGGGTGTTTGTGAATAGCCTTGTACCATGTGACCTCTGTGATCATTCACAGATTTCACACGTAGTAAGCAATGATGTCACAAGTGACATCTTGCTTACCACTCTGCATGTGATCACTGATTGGCCAATCAGTGATCACATGATCGGGACCTTGCACAAGAAGAGGTCCTGTACAACAATCGGTGTTCACTGTGTCCGGAGGACAACGCGGGCATCGGATCGGGGTGCTGCGGACTCCCAGGGAGCACGCACAAGCAGGGGGTGGGGAGGCCGTTTATAAATGGCCACCTGACCCTGCACTGCCACCGTCCCGGCCGTTTATATACAATGACCCGGACGGGCAGGTGGTTAAAAAGCCTCTGACCCTTTCCAGAAACACAGAAGCTCAAAAAAGCATAGATGTGTTCCATAGGAAACCATGTTAAATGGACTGTAGTGCGTTTCTGCAAAAGCAAAAAGCTCTAAAATATGCATTGCTGTGAGCCTAAGTGTTTCCCAATTTCATGGGTGTAGAGTCACTCTAACTGAATGAGGCTGTATATTAGTCCAGAATAAAAGTGTCGTCAAGGTGGCTTCGTGTCTGCAATGCTAAACTGGAATATAAAAAACAAAACAAATGCATAATAGGTAAGGCAAAAATCTTGTGTCACCTGAGGAAAACATTCTCATCTTGTCCCATGGTAATAACTGTGGGGAATACACTGATGGCGAAAGTACATGTACAGTTCATGAGGTGGTGGGGATAGTCTTCTGTGAAGAGATGAGTTTTCATGGATCGCCAATAGGTGGACAGAGTAGGAGAATAGCCAGACAGGCATGGGCTGGGAGTTGCAGAGGATGGGAGAGGCTCTGAAGAAGTCCTGAAGACAAGAATGGGAGGAGGTGAGGAGGGAGCTAGAGAGCAGGTAGTCTTGGAGGAGAGAAGAGGATGGTTTGGTTTGGTTTTGAGACAGGTTTAGTGATATATAGCTTGAGGCAGGATTGTGAATGGCTTTGTAGGGAGTTATGTTGTATTTTGGGCGATGGAAGTGGAGGGGATTGGCAGACAGAGGTAGTGGACAGCTGAATGGTTGGAGAGGTGAATGAGTCTGGCAGTGTTTATAACAGACTGAAGGGGGGATAGCCCTGTATTGATGAGAGAGCTGTGCAATGAATCAAGAGATAGCTATGGAAGTAAATTGGTAGCTTGGTGGAGTCCTGGGCAAGGAAGGAGGCAAATTTTGGAATTGTTGGAGTATGGAATGGATTGGAATAGTGATGGATATGGGACCAAAAAGAGAAATGTCAGAGTCCAGGATTACATCTTGGCACCATAGTCTAAGTGAAGGGATAAGATAGAAATATTATTCAGGATGGAAAATGGGGCACAGTGAGAGAGAAATATTATGAGAAATATGAAGTAGGGCCATAATAGCTTAGAAGAAGCTCTATCCTCTACAGCAGCCTTTCTCAACCTTTTATCCCAAGAGGAACCCTTGAAATAATTGTCATGACTCAGGGAACCCCTGTTAAAGTTTAGTCCATTGAGGGACATGTACAGAAATTACGTCTTACATATTGGTGGGTGCCACAGTGGAAAGACTGTTCGCGCCCTATAACAGTGGTGGTTAGAATGGCCACCTTCTTGCAGACAGTTTTTAACCACAACGCCGCCCAGAGACACAGTAGAAATCCGTTGAGGCAGGGCGGCATGGCTTGGGACAAAACCACGTTTTTAAAACGTGGTGGTTTGCAAAACATCATAGGCGGGCGCCATGCGAGGCCCGCCTCCGCCCCTACCAGTCCCACTCCCCGATCACGGCCGCATATGTCAGTCGCCGGGTCACAGCCGGCCCATTACCGCTGTGTCCCGCCGATTAGCTCAATCACTGACAAGAGAGCAGGGCTGCCGTAGCTCTGCATTCTGCAATTTTTCCCTGTCAGCTCTCTGACATGCTGACCAGAGAGGAAGAGTTTATCTCTCCCTGATCAGGCTGTCCCCATGCAGTAAACACCTCCGCCCCCTAGAAAAAACACTCCCCCTCCCAGTTACTATTCAGTAAAAAAAAAAAGTTAACCCCTTCCTCCCCTTTTGTCATTAGTTAAATTCAGTGTTTTTTTTTTTTGCACTGATCACTGTATTGGTGTCACTGGGGATGTCAGGATCCCAAGTCAGTTCCCCCCCCGTGTCAGAAAAGTCTGCCGAGTCCGCCTAAGTCGCTGATCGCCGCAAAGCATGATTGCTGCCCTAAAATCGTGATCGCCTTTTATTTTTATAAAAGAAATTTAAAAACCCGTATCTTTTTCCCCCATTTGTAAACACTTAACTTTCACGTAAAACCCAAATTTAAATTTTCACGTATTTTGGGGGTTTTTTTAGCAAAGACATGTCACAGAAAGCATTTTGGTTAAATTTTTGACGAAATTTGATTTTTTCTGGGCAGTTTTATACAAAAAGTCCAAATATTTTTTTTTTCTCAAAATTGTCGCCTCTTTTTTTTTATAGCGCAAAAAAAAAAAAAACGCACAGGCGATAAATACCCCCAAAAAGGGGCTCATTTGTGTGAAAAAAAGGACATAAATTTTATTTATGTTTCCATATTGCATGAAACCGCGCAATTGTCCTTTTAAATAGCGAGCGCTGTTTAGCAAAAAAATGGCGTAAATTGCAGTATCTTCCTAGTTTGTGATGCTATAACTTTCACCAAAAGAATCAATATACACATTGGGGTTTTTTTTTTACCAAAAACATGGAGCAGAATCATTTTGGCCTAAATTTTTTAACCAACTTTTTAGTTTACTATATTTTTTATAGCGAAGTAAAAAATATAATTTTTCTTCAAAAAATTTTTGGGCTTTTTTTGTTTATAGCGTGAAAATTAAAAAACGCCAGGGGATCAAATACCACCCAAAGAAAGCTCTATTTGTTTTGAAAAAAAAAAGGGCTACAAATTTTATTTTGGGTGCAGCATTGCATGACCGTGCAATATCAGTTTTAATTAGGCAGGCGGTGA